GCCTTTGCACGCAAACTGCTTGCATTCACCTTTGTGAGAATCTAAGGTCACTCACTGGCTTTGTCCTTCTAGTTCCCTAACTAGAGTTATGCAGCTAGTAAGATAGCTAGAAAGAAATTGTGATTGGGGTATGATTTTGATAATGGGATGACATTTTAGATTTAGAACATACCCTAAACCTGTGATGTGTTGAGATCGCGTAGAGTAGATCATCATTGTGCTTAGTGGTAAGACCCCTGGCTGAGGAGTCAGAACCCTGAGACCCACACAAAAGGGTCCCCACCTCCTGAGGTGGGGAACCTGAGACCAAGGGCCTGGCCTTGCTCTCCCACGTGGCTTTGCAATATCGTTCACAATGTAGTGCCAATAAAAGCTCTCCATATTGTTGTCCACACACATAATGTGAAACATACAATGCAAAACCAGCTCTGTCTGTAAGTCATGACAAGACACCAGTCCAGGTGTCTCTGCTCATATATTTCATGTAGAAGAGTGCATGGAGGATAAGACTCATCAACACTTGGGAAGTTTACAATAGGCAGCCAGCAAAACACTAGCATTTCTGCTCTCTTTATATTTCATTCAAGCTTCCAATACCATCATTCAGTCCTATTTTCAATGTCTTTATTCTTGATGTAAATCTCCTAATTCGACTGGATAGAAATCAGAAGGATATCATAGGAAATCAGAACCTTATTTTTATTTATTTATTTTTTTTGGAAAGCGACTGAACACAGGTAAATAGGCTTCACCTGGCTACTGAGTGAGGTTAGCAGAGTGCCCGCCTTCACCCCTCCCAGAAGCAATATACACAGAAACATTAACAACTCGGTTTAGGGGCACTGAATGTCCTCCCTCCAACCCCAGTTGAAAATTCAAGTATAACTTACAGTCAGCACTCCATGTGGGCATGTTCACAACCTACTGAATCTATGTTGCAGAATCCCTTGATAGAAAAAAATAATCCACATATACATGGACCCTTGCAGTTCAAAGTGTGTTGTTCAAGGGTGAGCTATAAACACTGCAAGGAACATCAAAGGAAATGATGACAAACCTTCTGGCACAGACAAATGTCCTCAGGGGACAGGGCATGTCCTTCATTTAAAGTATGCATGGTCAGGCTCCCTAGTGGCCTAGGAGTTAAGTCTCAGCACTATCACTGTGACTGCCTAAGTTCGATCCCCATCTAGGGAGCTAACCCACATACGGTTCAGCAGACCTCTCCTGTCTTGCCTGCTGCTCCTCTTAGCAATGTATTTCAGTAAATCTGGCTGTTATGTACCCCACTCTGTCTCTGGTGAGTCCTCTTACCCACCCCATCTCTGGCCTATACCCTAGTTCTTCTACTCAAAAGAATCTAAAATAAATAAATAAATAAATAAATAAATAAATAGTGTACATGGTCACCTGAGGGAAGAAATCCTACATTGTCAAAATATTCCAACACTATAAAACAATAATAGTACTTCATTAATAAAAATAAACAATGTGTGCATTGTGACTCTTCCACAGAAATATGGATGGAAGCAGTCAGAGTAAGTTATCATCAATGCATCTCATCCCAGTGCTGGCCATGAGTTTTACAAGCAATATGTGATTACTGCCTCCAAAAGCTGTGCATCTCATTGCCCCATTAACCCCTGACTTCCTAAGCAGATAGGTATTTTAGCTTCATTGTATTCTGCTTTTAAAAGAAGACAGCAGATGCAAATAAAATCCTCTTTAATTTTTATTGAAACAGGTAGAGGTGACTTTGTGTCAGTCATCTTTCAATATAGGCTCTCCACCCCCAAGATGGTAGAGAGCCAGCACAGCTGTCCTTAGGTACCATCCTGGGGGTGTGCTGAAATAGGGACAGACAGGATAGTGACAGAATAATACTGCAGGGAGTTAGCTATTAAGTTTTCAGCACAAGAATGAAGGTTATTTTAAGTGAGAATGGAAAATGTACCACTGACAGCAAAATGGTTATAATGCTAGGCAATGTTATATTTGATGTATGTAGAAAATGGCAGAACCATTTTCAACTAAAAGTCTTAGAGAACTCCACAGCCAACTTTATCTCTGTGTTTCTTTCCTGGAGTCAGTACTGGGGCCTAGACCTTAGTCTTGGTTGTGACAGTGGTTGAATATAAGATGTGCAGTGCAGTCAACCAGGAGTCCCAAACAATGACAGGTTTCATAAGGTAGTTTGGTGTCATGAAGCAGTTGCATTGCCACTTGGTGTGTTGATACCAAATGCTGATGTTCTCAGGGGAGCATCTGTCTTGGTTCAGCATGTCAATTGGCCAGTGGCCCCAGGAGTAGAATTATGAACTAAGCATCTTATTACTCAATAAAACACTGGAATTTTGAGTGTGTGAATGAAAGTAATATTATAATAACACCAATATTAAAGTAAATACCAAGAAAAGAATTCTACCAGCTCCTGTTATATTTCTCATTTACCCTTGAACATAATTGCTAATGTAATAATTCTGATAAAAACAATAGTAATGATGATAAGGGAGCAAATCTGATAGCCAAAATTACAAGACAACATAAGTAGTTACTAGTATCCACAAGCTCAAAGGTGACTGTGCCATAAATAATGATTACTTTTAATTCACTGAGCTGGAAGTATGTTTTATTACTCCTTTAGATTTCTAAAAGAAGTGTCTTCTGTTATAAGAGGTAGGTACCTGGTATCTCAACACATTAATTAAAACACTGAAGTGTTTTATAAAATCAGCAGCCACAATAATAAAATGATAAACAGTAATCACAAGGGAAAAAAATTGTCTTGGGTCTTAGACTGTGTCATGGAATTTAACACAGGCAATATAATCTCTCAAATTTTGTTTTGGTAATTATTTCTCCTTTATTTCCAGTATTGAGAATGTTGGGATTAAGTATATAGTAAGATTGCTTTGCCTACAACATGCAAGTAAATCTCCTGGAATATTATGTTCTGTGCATAATATTCATAATATTCATAACAATATCTCTGTTCTGTCACAGAGATAGTTTTTATGAAATAGTAATTTTGTATCTTTTATTCCATTAAGTCATTAATAGCTTGATATGTTTAGGTGAGATTACATTGCAATCTCTGATCTAAGTGGCAAAAAATTAAAATTAACATGATTGTCATTGAATTAACAGTAGTATTTAGATGAACTAACCCTTCTTGCCTTAAAATATGTGGCCACTTGTTTTTTATTTTTAAAGATTTATTTATTTATACAAGAACCGGGGTACAGACCAAATGTGTTGGAGAGTGAGAGGATTCACCAGAGACAGAGCAGGGAACAGACAGGCAGACTGACGAAATACACTGCTGAGGGGAACAGCGGGTGAGACAGGAGAGAGGTCTGCGGCGCCATGTGCATTTCTCCCCGGCCGGGATAGAACCCACGATGCAGAGGCTAGGACAGCTTCACAGTGCGGCGCTCAACCGCCTGCGCCATCAGGGAGGCCCAATATGTGGCCACTTGTATGTTCACAAGCCCATTACTGTGTCTGGTATATCAGGTCCTAAAGACAGTGCTATTTTCTGGGCTTTTGTACATATTACTCCCTTATATTTGGGAAGCAGAGGGGAAGACAAAAGAATATTGGAAATATTAAAGTTTATTCCTCAGTGTGTAGATCAGTGTCCATGTGACATCTAGAAAGTGATCTGCTTGAGCCCAGGCAAGAATGCACATCTGGAGGTTCTTGGTGGGTCCGTGTGAGCCTCACACTGGTTTCCAGGAGGACTCTCGTCAGTCTGTGCCCATATGCAGTGCTGGTCCCCCTGCTCTTTCCTGAAGCCTTGCCTTCAAAAATCACCAAGAAAATCACCTCTCCTTAAAACATCCCCACTCCGGGCCTCCCCGGTGGCACAGCGGGTTGAGCTCAGCGCTGTGAAGCTGTCCACATCTTCTGCAGCGTGGGTTCGCTTCCTGGCTGGCCAGGGAGATACCCACATGGCGCAGCAGACCTCTCCTGTCTTGCCCACTGCTCCCCTCAGCAGTGTATTTCAGTCAGTTTGCCTATTCTGCTCCCCACTATGTCTCTGTGTCTCTGGTGAATCTTCTCATCCACCCACGCCTCTGACCTGTACCGCAGTTCTTGTATAAAAATAAATAAATCTTTAAAAAGAAAAAGAAGAAGAAGATGCTTTCTGAGGTGATAAAAAAAAAAATCCCCACTCCGCTTGCAGCCCCTTGTGGTGGAATTTCTGGTCCTTCCTCTGTAGTCCCTACCTGACACTTACCTAGCAGGAGTCAGATCTCAGAGGCTCTGGGGTCCATGATACAAATGATGAAAACTTTCTTCTTGCTGCAACTGAGCACAACTGGAGCTACTTAGTGTTTATAAAGATCATCTTGTAGGGAAAGCAGAGCTTCCCATCAGAAGGTGAGAGGCAATGGTGTTTGGACTGGCCTTTAGTCATGAAGTGGTGTGAAGTGGACATATGGTAGGAATATTTTGGAGGACATTAATGATGTAGCAATTTAAAGCCAGAAATCCCTGGAACAGGTTCTGGGGTTGTGATGAACTTGACATTGAAGAAGAGGTCATTAGCACGACCATGGAAAGGAGAGAAGGGCACATAGGCATCACTCCCTGATGCCCAATTACAAGACTGTGAGGTTATCATATGAGTGACTTCGACCTGGGCCAGCTGATTTCCCATTAGACACTTTCAAAGAGTATCCCCCTTGAAGAAAGCAAATAATGCTTCAATCTTTTGAAGCAGACTTGAAAAAAATGTAGGAAACTGGAAGGAACTTGGCAGTTTAGTCTGTTGTTCTTTTTCTAAACATGAAACCTTTCCCTTAGAAGCACAAAAATGGCAAAGATGTTAAGTCCTTGTCTTTTTTCCCCCTTTTGCTATCTAAAATGACAAACCATCGGCAATTCCTTCTTGGCTTCTTGTTCTTGATGAAATCCTTCTGTAATAATGGGGATGTCGTATTTGGGCTGTTTGGTTTTTTTTTTTTTTCACAAGCGACTCTTTTTCCTTGTAGGATACCCCAAGCAGAGGACCACGGCTCCCAGAAATGGGTTTTCCCCCAAGCCAGACCTGCAGACCCGTGAAGCAGAGCGGCAGCTGGTTCAGCGGCTGAAGGAGCGGTGTGAGCAGCAGGCCCGGCAGCTGGGCCTGGCCCAGGGGGAGCTGAGAAAGGCCATCCGTGGCTTCCAGGCACTTGCCGTGTCCACTCAGCATTTCTTTGGAAAGGTGAGGCCACGTTTGGTGCATGTTGAAGTGCTTTTCATTGAGGCGGGGAGGGCAGTCATGGAGATGGTTATTCGTGTGTGTATTTCTAGTTTGGGTTTAGGGTTAGAGTTGGGATTCAGTTTTCAGAAGGTCATTCAGAATCTCCTGCAGCAGCATGTCATGTACGGGGAGCCATGTTTATACTTAGGTGTGGAAGAAGTTAGTCTGGAAGGATGACTTAGTAACCTTGACTTCAAAAGGGAAAATTTTGTAAAAGTAGAAAGGATATAAACGTACCATTTGAAAGTGATTTCTTTGAGGAAAACAGAGAATGATTGTTTGCATTGTAGATAGGAGATCCAAACTCTGAAACTTCTGCTCATTTCATCTTAAATAGAGACAGGGCAGCAGTGCTGTTCCCAGGGGCTGTTGTGGGAAATGGAATGTGCCAGCCCTGGGCTTCCCCTCAGGGCAGTGTTCACAGCACAGCTTCAGGAGGGGAGGTGGGGAGTCTTCCCTGCCCCCTGTGTTTCCCTGAAAATGTAGGAAGGGTTGGTTTCTTCTCAGCAAAACACAGTCAGGAGGTTCTGGACACTGAGTTTATTAACCACGGAGTGGCTAAGCCTCCAGCCCTCCATGTGGACAGAGGTTGGGGGATGCTGGTGGACAGAGGTTGGGGGAGCCTGGTATCTGAATGCTTTTGTGCTCCAGCTCGAAGTAGCCAAGGCATGTTTGGAAGAGAAAAGGAAATTTACCTTCAAGATTTAAACATTGTGAAACAGCATATTAAAAACCCACAGGACATTTTAAATTTCCTGTGGACCTTCTTTTGTCTATAAATTAGAGGAAGTACAAATGCTGTGTAAATGCTCTCTAAATGAACAAACTAAATTTCTAACAATTTAAAGAAGAAAATCAGAAGGATGTTAAGTAGCACCGCATGACCACTGGTTGATTTTTTTTTCCCAATCATCTGCCTGAAAGTATGGAGGACTCTGACCTTTCACGATATCCTACGGTGTAAAAGCCTGAGATGCCCTTCTTGTTAGTGTCCTTTTCTTTTTTGCTTAAAGCTTTTAGCAGAAGGAGCCAATTATCAATTTGTTTTTGTAATGAAAGACAAGATGAACAGATTTCAGTTTTACCAATGGTTTCAGCTTCTTTCCTAACCACTATCTTAGCACAGGCAATAAATGACCAATTCATTAATTTTTATTACCAATTCTTTACTTATCTCTTTATTTTTTCTTACATCATGTAGTACCCATACTTTTCTAACCACCTTATCACCTGTGAGCCATCACCATGTTCCCTTGTGTTCTTCCCCCTCACCCCCCTTATGTCCCCCTCCCACCTCCCCCTATGCTATATGTTCTATAGTCAACTTGCTAGTTTTGACTTTTTCTTGACCTTTTGTTGGCTTCTCTATAGTCCACATATAAGTGAGGCTATCTGGTATTTTGTCCTTTTTCTTCTAATTTCTCCTAGCATAATTTCTTCCAGTTCCATCCAGGTTGCCGTAAATGACATGAGCTTGTCTTTTTTGATCACTAAGTAATAGTCCATTGTATAAATATGACCAATTTGAATTGCATGTGTGCTTTCTGGTCTAGCACTGTTGGTGTCAACCTTGAACAGCTGCAGAGGCTGTATACACACCCCTGTGAGAATTAAAATTATACACTTTTTTTTAAAAAGATTTATTTATTTATTTATACAAGCATTGGGTACAGTCAGAAGCGGGAGGGTGAGAGAATTCACCAGAGCCAGAGCAGGGAACAGAACAGGCAGAACGACGAAATATACTGCTGAGGGGAGCAGCGGGCGTGGCAGGAGAGGTCTGGGGAGCAGCGGGCATGGCAGGAGAGGTCTGGGACCCTCACTGGCAGCCGGGGATTGAACCAGTGCTGCAGAGGCTGCGGGCAGCTTTGCAGCCCAGTGCTCAACCGCTGCACCACCAGGGGAGGCCCAAAATTGTACACCTTTTTAAGGTGCTGAGAGACCTGACTCTCCATGGTAAATACTGAACATTTTTTTTATTCAAGAAAAAAGGATATATTTTTGTTCTTCAGCTGGACATATATTTTCCACTCACTATCAAATCTTTTATAAAGAGAAGAAAACAGGTTATTCATTGAGCTTCTCTAGTAACAGTTACTTTGTTATTCTGTCCACTCTGGGATGCTCCTTGCGTGTGTCATCCACAGTGTCCTTAAATTAATCCTAACCAGTCCTTTATAGAGGTTTCCTATAGATAGATGTACCAACAGACATTGATGTAACATGGACAGTATACTCTGTGTTTTACAAGTTAGAACCTTTGAACCCCACTTATGGCATCACAGCAGAAAAGAGAGTTCCTGTGCTGAAATTAAGGGTCAGTTCCCCATAGTTAATGGATTTCTGTGCCTGGGAACACTTTGTTGGCCCATGGACCATGGGATTTATTTCTCTGCAGTATGTACATGACTCTTAAGTCAGAGGTCAAAGGAGACCAGCAGGTGATTTGCAGGCATCTCCCTTGGACCTCCCTACCACTAGAGCTGCATTTGGCATTTCAGCAAGATAGATGGTGGACATGAATTTCATTTTCTTTTCAGTAAATCACACCAGCAACTTCAAACAGACCTCCCAAATGACCATGGCATTTCACCACCTACACAATGTGTTCTTTTCTGTCTTTCTTATCTCAATGCTCTCCAGATAAACCCCTAAAGGAAAAATGGGCATTTTAAAAAGTGTTTTATAATTGAACATAGTGGCTACCATGCAGGCTGTCATGTATTCCATGTGGCTTCAGAGGATTGATTTGAGAGTTTACTAGTAATACCAAATTAGACCAAGAAAATATGATATGGCATGAGAGCAGCTGGGAAAACTGAGGAAAAGCCACATCATACTATAGTGATGGAGCCCTCTGTTACCAGGTCTAGTGAACTTGAGGTGCCCCGTGTCACTCCTATGGGAAACCAGTGCACTATTATTATGTGGGAGACATGGTCACAGCTGAGCATGCCAGCTATGAAGAGATGAGCTCACAGCTATCCTGACAATGCAGTATTTTTCTGTTCTTCCAATTAGAAGACCCTTCTGGAACTCTGCACATGTTTCTCTGCATTTTCATCGACAGTGCGTGGCTAGTGGAGTAGGGTGCAGAGCCAGGCAGCACTCCCTCCCAGCTCCTGCTCCACCAGCCGTGAGCGTTACTGCCTCTCTTTGAGGCTCATCCTCATTACTCAAAGGAGTAACATCTTTGTCCTGGCTTGGCCACCCACTAGCTAAGTCACCTCTAATCAGTCCATCTTTGAGTCTCCATTTCCTCAATTCCAAATACTCTTAATAGTAACTCTCCACAAAGTTATGTGAGATTCAATGAATGAATGGGTAAAGGCAGTTTGAACAAATACTCAATACAAAGCTCTACCGTCAAGGATTTTACTCTTGAGAGAGAAGAGTAAGACAAAACTGAGACATATAAAGTTAAAGCACAGCATTCTCATTTCACTATATGTATGCATAAAGGGTTTGACCGGGAGCATATTTTAAGAAAAACTTTCTGCTCTACCTATTCATATTTTTTTCCCAGAATGTGCTGATGCCTTTAAATATATATTGGAAATAAGTCTCCATGTATGGAGAGTCACTAGGAAAAAAAGGAATTAGAAGCCCAGATAAGAATCTTCCATTTCTGCCCCATGCTTTAATAGCCCCTGGCAGAGCGGCTGTGAAAGTTGTCAGCTGTGACATAGCTGTGACAGTCCAGCAGCCAGGGATTCTAAGATTCAGAATTTAGATGCCAACACCAGCCTCACACTTGTACTGGTTCCAGATAGCTCTGTCCACAAATGGATCTACTGAAATCTGTAGTCCCCAAACCTTTAACTGGTGTGGTAATAAGGGTGACTCTCAGGGGACTCCCACTTGTCAGAGGGGCGTTGAGTGATTTTTATCTTTCTCTGGCTGCCTGGTTCCTGAACCGCTACTCTGTAGCAGCCTCTGGTGGCTAACCCAGGGAACAATCCAGAGGATTGGCCAGTTTATTTTTGTTTATGCCTACAAGAGCTGGGGTACAGGCTAGAGGTGTGGGAGGTGAGAGGATTCACCAGAGACAGAGCAGGGAACAGAACAGGCAGACCGACCGAAATACACTGCTGAGAGGAGCAGCGGGCAAGCTAGGAGAGGTCTGCTGCGCCATGTGGGTTGCTCCCTGGCCAGGGAGATAGCTTGATAATACTAAGACATAACCCCTTGAGCCACCAGGGAGCCCCCTAAGTGGTGTGTCTTGCTTTGTATCATGTTTTATCCATTTAAGGGAATACTTACTTTAGTAAGCTTTGTTACATTTTTTTCATATTTGTGTCATTTTATCATTAAATTTGTGAATGTGAGAGTAGATGGTGGTTTTTAAATTTTCTATTATCAAACAGTTTAGGCATGAAAGTCATGAGAAGCAATCTGTTGAGCATTTGTTTACTTTCCTAGCTTAAAAATTAATGACTTATCATCATCCTTCTCCCAAAGTATACACGTTTTCTTGCTTTTACTTTTTGACCTATCAATCCAAAATTTATTTAAAATGTAAAAGAATAGAAATAAAACACCTTCCATTTATATTTAATATTTAGGCATTTTTCCATATTCACTTTATGATGTTTTTATTTAGTTAGGGGTGCATACTTTTAAATAGTTTATATATTTCAACTTCAGTTTTTCAAATTCAGTTCATTTACATGTATGTTAGCAGTGGATCTTCCTGCCTCTGTCATATGAAGGATTCAATAGGAAATTCAAGAAAATAACAGGCAGAATTCCCAAATAACAATATAAATCCTATTTATTGATCATCTCCTATGTTCCAAGCACTTCACATACATTATTTTCACTCAACCATCTTCCCTGCTGTTAAGTGTTGTTCTCATGTGACAGTGGAAGAAGGTGAATTAGGATTTAGCTAAATTATGTAGCCCTCCCAAGACATCATAATTTAAAATGGTGGAGCTAAGATATTAATTAGGTCAGTC